TGCAAAGCTACAGTAAGCAAGGCTGTGTTGTACAGGCACAAGGACAGACAAATAGATAAATGAAATAGAATTAAGAGTCAGAAATAAACTCATATACATTTGTGGTCATCTGAGTTTCTACCATGGTGCCAAGAGACTTAAACAAAGGCAATAGGACAACGAGATAGTGACATGCAAAAGAATTAATTTGAACCCCTACCTCATACCATATACAAAAATTAATTCAAAATGAATCAAAGTCTAAAACTGAGAGCTAAAACTATAAAACTCTTAGAAGAAAACACAGGTGAAAATCTTCGTGATCTAGAGTTCAACCATGGTTTCTTATATATGTCTAAAGTACAAGTAACCAAAAGAAAAAAAAATAGATAAATTGAACTTCATCAAAATTTAAAAGTTTGTTCATCAAAGGACACGATCAAGAAAAAAGATAACCCAGAGAATGGGAAAAAATATTTTTAACTCATAAAACTGATAAGGGCCTATAACCAGAATATAAAAAGACAAGTAATCTCATTTTAAAACAAGCAATGTATTTGAATAAACATTTCTCCAAAAAAGATGTGCAAATGACCTCTAAACACAATGGATGATACTCAATTCACCAGTTATTAGGAAAGTCCAAATCACCACCCCACTGAAACATCACTTCACACACACTAAGATGGCTCTAATCAAACAGACAAAATTCACGGGTGTTGGTGAGGATGTGGAGAAACTGGAACCTTCATGCCCAGCTGGTGGGAATGTAAATCGGTGCAGCCACTTTGGAAAAGAGTCTAGCAGTTCTTCAAAAAAACTAAACATAGAGTTACAATTTAGCCAAGCAATTCCATTCTGTGGTATATACCCAAGAAAAAATGAAAGCCAGTCAATAGCAGCATTGTTCTTAATAGCCAAGAAATGGAAACAAACCAAATGCTCATTAGCTGATGAATGGATAAAGAAAATGAGGTATGTTTATGCAATAGAATCCTATTCAGCAATATAAAGGAATGAAATACTGACACATGCTATAACACAGATGAATCTTGAGACCCTGTAATGTCAAGTGAAAGAAGCCAGGCACAGAGTTGTCCATTTTACATGAAGCATGCAGTATACATGCATCAAAAGAAACAGCAGGTACATTGTGTTAGGCCATTCTTGCATAGCTATAAAGAAATATCTGAGGCTAGACTGGGTGCAGGGGCTCATGCCTATAATCCTAGCACTTTAGGAGGCTGAGGCGGGTGGATCACTTGAGGTCAGGAGTTCAAGACCATCCTGGCCAACATGGTGAGATCCCATCTCTACTAAAAATACAAAACTTAGCTGGGCACAGTGCCATGCACCTGTAATCCCAGCTACTCAGGAAGCTGAGGCAGGAGAATCTCTTGAACCTGGGAAGCAGAGGTTGCAGTGAGCCGAGATCACACCACTGCACTCCAGCCTGGGCAACAAAGTGAGACTCCATCTCAAAAAAAAAAAAGGAGAGGCCATAGCTCAGAGGTAGAGCATTGGACTGCAAATCAAGAAACACCTGAGGCTGGATAGTTTATAAAGAAAAAAGGTTTAATTGACTCACGGTTCTGCAGGCTGTACCAGCATAGCTTCAGCATCTGCTTCTTGTGAGGGCCTCAGGAAGCTTACAATCATGGTGGAAGGTGAAGGGGGAACAGGTGCATCACATGGTGAGAACAGGAGCAAGAGAGAGAGGGTGGTTCCCACACAATTTTAAACAGCGAGATCTTGCCAACTCACTCATTACCAAGGAAATAGCACTAAGCCATTCATGAGGAATCTGCCCCCATGAGACAAACACCTCCCACCAGGCCTCTCTTCCAACACTAGGGATTACATTTCAACATGAGATTCGCAGAGGACAAACGTCCAAACCATATCACAGGTTCACAGTTGGCAGGAGCTGGGGGCAGAAAGGAATAGGAGGAACTGCTAAGGGTGTAGCATTCCTTTTTAGGGGGAACGAAATGTTCTGGAATTAGTGATGATTGTTGCACAACTCTGTGAATAAGCTAACAAATAAACATCGATCGTACACTTTTAATTGGATAATTTTATGTTACGTGAATGTCTCGACTGATAAAAATGATCCTTATTGTTCAAGCCAATTTGAGGTAGAGGTGTTGTTTCTTGCAAAGCAAAGCTCCCGATGCTTGGTGGGACACACTACCCTGCTAGCTGACTTCTTCCCCTCCCAGCTGGCAGTTGCTTTTTCTTAGAGTGTGGGTGGAGATGAGGCCCAGCTATGACTAATCAAATAGATAAAAATTTATGAGTGCTGGTGAGGATGTGGAGAAACTGGAACCTTCATGCCCTGTAGGTGGGAATGGAAAATGGTCCAGCCACTTTGGAAAAGTCTAGCAGTTCCTCAAAAAAACTAACCGTAGAGTTACAATTTGGCCAAGCACTTCCACTCTGTGGTATATACCCAAGAAATCTGGGACATAGTGGGGACAGCTGTGTGCAGAACTAGAGTCCCCCCAGCTTCTGAGAGAGGACACAGCCCCAGGCTCTTGCCCAGATTTCCTGGGTCTTGCTGTGGGTGGGGGCTGCTGCGTCTCTGGCCCTGAAAGAGCAGGGATGACAGAGGGATCACATCGGAGAGGTTCAGGAACCACCATTCCCCGCTCCCTGGGTCACTGGGCAGCCAGTAGCCAGGCTGCCTGGCATCATTTGCCCATGTGGTAAAATCAGTGGCCTCTGCTGGGCCAGAGCAGCTCAGGCTGCTTCCGTGAGCAGAAGGATGTGGGAAGCGACTGGAGCCTCGACCCCATATAGTCACCTCAGTCACTCCACAGCAGTACCCTGAAGACAGCCAGTTATACTGTTTGAAATTAAAGACCTGATGAGAATTGCGCGTTGAGATGTTTCTTTCGTCTTGGGGCAGTTGGCAACGTCCAGACTAAATCCCCACCACCGTGCCTCGTGGTGGCCAGCTTTTGGGTCCCCTCATCCACAGTGGGGAGCACACCATCCAGGAGCACATGGCTTCATCGGCAGACACAGCACAGGCAGCTCCTGTCCGGGGCGGGATGCTGTTATGTGTTCAGGTGAGAATCAGGCTGAGACTCCCCGGCCATCTTTCAAGGGTGTCAGCTCTATCATCACACCATTCCTTCTCTCAAGTGCGCAGACTGGTGTCCTAGTTTACTTTCTGTTGCTTATAGCAGAATATCTGAAACTAGATAACTTATAAAGAAAAGGAATTTATTTCCTACAGTTATGGAGGCTGGAAACTCCAAGGTCAAGGGAGCACCTGGTGAGATCCTTCTTGCTGGTGGGGACTCTGCAGCATTCTGAGGTCATGCAGGGCATCACATGGCGACAGGACCGAGCGTGCTAGCTCAGGCCTCCCTTCCTCTTCTTGTAAAGCCACCAGTCCCACTCCCATAACTGTTAATCCATTAACCCACTAATCCATGAATGGGTTAATCCACTCATGAGAGCAGAACCCTCCTGACCCAACACCTCTTAAAGACTCCAGCTCTCAATACTGCCACATTGGGAATCAAAGTTTCAACATGAGGGGTTTTTTTTAGATTTTGTTTTGTTTTGTTTTTGAGACAGTCTCACCCTCTCTTCCAGGTTGGAGTACAGTGGCACAATCTCAGCTCACTGCAGATTCTACCTCCCAGGTTCAAGCGATTCTCCTACCTCAGCCTCCCAAGTAGCTGGGATTACAAGCACCCAGCAACATGCCCTGCTAATTTTTGGTTTTTGTAGAGACAAGGTTTCTCCATGTTGGCGAGGCTGGTCTTGAACTCCCGGCCTCAGGTGATCTGCCTGCCTCAACCTCCCAAAGTGCTGGGATTATAGGCATGAGCAACCATGCCCAGCCTCAACATGAGTTTTAGAGGGGGCAAACACTCAAACAAAACGATTGGCTTTGAGTCAGCCAAGCTGAGGAACAGAACTTCAGGGAATGTTCCCACAAACTCTCTGTCCTCCATCTTTAATTAAAGCAATATTTTTCATGGAGAATTACCCAGGACACACACATTTCATGGACTCCTGAAAGCCATTCCCACTAGACAGCCACAGGTCAACTGCATGGTTTGGCCTGATAAAATATCACCCACTGAATTCACACCAGGGTGATCTGCTGAGCCCACTCTGAGGGCTGTTAAGACAGATTCATGGGACTATGGTGTTTGGCATTATGCTGTTGGGTTGTGTGATTTTGTAATTCGTTTTAAAAGTATACATTTACACAAAAAGGCACAAAACAAAAATGTGCAGATCATGTAGTCAATAGCTATGTAACCACCAGCCAGGTAAAGAAGTAAGACATGAGGTCTTATTTGATGAGGTGGGAGGCTAACTCCTTGGGGCCCCTCCACCTCACCAAAGGTAATTTCATTTAAATAGAATTATAGAACATGGACTCTTTTGTGTCAGGCTTCTTTCACTCAAATTATGCTTCTGAGACCTATTCCTGGTACTGTGTATAGTCATAATCTATTAATTTTCTTTCTTTCTTTTTCTTTTTTTTTTTAAGATGGGGTTTCACCATGATGGCCAGGCTGGTCTTGAACTCCTGACCTCAGGTGATCCACCCACCTTGGCCTCCCAAAGTGCTAGGATTACACGCATGAGCCTCAGTGCCCAGCCAATCCATTAATTTTCATAGCTTACAGTATTCCGTTGTATAAATGAACTGTGAACTTGGTCCATTTTGGTCCATTTTTTGGTTGAGGCTATTATAAACAATGCTTTTAGGAATGTTCTGTATATGTATCCTGATATGCGCATTTACACATACACCTTTCTGTCTGGCATATTCCCATAAGTGTAATTTCCAGGTCATCAGGGATAGGTCAGGGGAAATACATACTTTCAATTATTTAGAAAGTAGTAGAAACAATTGTTTTACAAAATGATTGTTCCAGTTTACATTTCCGACAGCAATCCATGAGAGTTCCAGCAGCTTCACATTCTCATCAACATTTATTACTATCGATTTTCTTAATATTAGACATTCTGGTGAATAAAGGTAGTGTGTTATTTATCAAGTATTTCATAACAAATTATGCTCATAATGCAGGGGCCTAAAACAACATACACTTATTATTTCAAGGTTTCTATGAGCCAGAAAGCCTGGAGTGGCTTGTCTGGATGGTTCTGGTCTCTCACAAGGTTTCACTCAAAATGTCAGCCAGGACTGCTGTCATCTGAAGGCTCAACTGGGGCTGTAGGATTCACTTCCAAGATGGCTCACTCACATGATGTGATGGCAAGAAACCTCAGTTCCTTGCTGTATGCACCTCTTAGCAGGTCTGCTTGACTGTCCTCATGAGGTGGCATCAACAAATGTTCTGAGAGAGAGGGGCAAGGGGAAGAGAGAGAAAGAGAAAGAGAGGCCACATTGTCTCATCACCTAGTGTTGCGAGTGATACAACATTACTTTTGCCTTATCCTGTTTATTTATTTTTTATTTTTTTTATTTTTTTTTTTGAGACGGAGTTTCACTCTTTTTACCCAGGCTGGAGTGCAATGGCGCGATCTCGGCTCACCACAACCTCCACCTCCTGGGTTCAGGCAATTCTCCTGCCTCAGCCTCCTGAGTAGCTGGGACTACAGGCACGCGCCACCATGCCCAGCTAATTTTTTGTAGTTTTAGTAGAGACAGGGTTTCACCATGTTGACCAGGATGGTCTCGATCTCTTGACCTCGTGATCCACTCGCCTCGGCCTCCCAAAGTGCTGGGATTACAGGCTTCAGCCACTGTGCCCGGCCGCCTTATCCTGTTTATTAAGGTGAATCACTGAAGTCTAGCCATGCTCAAGGAAAGGGAAATTAAGTTTCACCTGTTGAAATGAAGAATACTGAAGAAGTTGTGGACATATTTTAATACTACCACAGGGATCTCACTGTGGTTTTAATTTGTACTTCTCTGACTGAGGTTGAACTCTTTTTCATGTGTTTACTGGCCATTAACTCTTTCACAAATTACCTATTCAAGTATCTTTCACAATTTTCTGTTGTTTTTTGTTTTTGGGTTTTTTTTTTAGTTTTTCTCATTGATTTATAAGAGTTTTTTCTACAGTCTAGATATGAGTCTCTTGTCAATTATATATGCTGCAAATACATTCTCCCACTCCTAGATTGCTTTTGTATACTCTTAATGGTTTCTTTGACAAACAAACTTTCTTAATTTTAGCATAGCCTAAATTATTAGTCTTTTTCTTTATGGATTATGTTTTTTATATCTTGCTTAAGAAGTCTCTCCTTACTCCAAAGTCATAAAAATATTTTCCTATTCGGATGACTTTCTAATGTGTGACCTTGCCTAGGCTGGAGTATATTTCCCTGGAATGCCCTTTCTAGCCTGCTTTCAGTTAGTGAGGGTACAGGGCTAGGATGGGCAACAAGAGGTATTCTCTACTGAGAGCAGGAGGACACAGGGAAGCAGTGCCCTTTCAGGCATGCACATGCTTTCTCTAGTTACTCATTCGAGCCCTGGCCTTCATGCTGCTGCAAAGAGATTTTGCAATGTGATTAGAGTCCCAAGTCAGTTGACATTAAGATAATCAAAAGGGAGATCACTGCTCACAGTCAGTTACAGATCGAACTTCTTGTTCCACTCATCCCCTACTTCTCACTACTGCACTTAAGTCATCTAAAATAAAAGTGGGAAGAGATTATCCTGGATGGGCCTGACTCAGTTAATTGAAAGGCCTTGTTAAAAGGACTTAGGCATTCCCTGAGCCACACTCCAAACAGCCCCTGACAGCCTGCCCGTCAGACTTCAGATGTCCTTAGCCTGCCCTGACAATTGTATGAACCAATTCCACACACACACACACACACACACAGACAGATTACTGACTGGCTCTGCTTCTCTGGTTGAGCCCCCACTGATACTCCTATATTATCTTTTGAAGCTATATTGTTTTGCCTTTCTCATTTAAATCTGAATCCACCTGGAGTTGCATTTTTGTGGATGGTGTGAGGTAGGGGTCAAGGACTTTGTTTTGTTTTCTTCTGTTTAGGTACTCAATAACCCCAGCATCATTTCTTAAAAACCCCTTCCTTTCCTACTGCTTGACCAGCTTTGTCATAAATCAAGAGTGTGGTATTCACAGGTCAGAGTGTTTTGAGCTGATCTGCTTTGGCCTCCAAGAAACTAGTTTTCAAATTTGCTCCAAATTTCAAGAATTGTATCGGACTTCATGACGTGATTTCTGAACACCAGTTTACCGCTGGCCTTACCCAGTGGCCCAGCCCATGTTTTCCCGCTACTCTGTTTGGCACACAGAGTGGCTATTCATGAAATCTTGGTGTTCTCCCCTTCCTCTGCTTTGGAAAACAGAGAAAGCCAGAGAATTGAGCTACAGGAGGGCTGCTAAGGGAGACAGGAGGTAGTGAAGTGGTCCCCAGAAGCCCTGGTGACCTTTTTTTTTTTTTTTTTTGAGACGGAGTTTTGCTCTTGTCTCCCAGGCTGGAGTGCAATGGCACAGGCTCAGCTCACCGCAACTTCCACCTCCTGGGTTCAAGCGATTCTCCTGCCTCAGCCTTCCGAGTAGCTGGGATTACAGGTTCCCACCACCACACTTGGCTAATTTTTGTATTTTTAGTAGACACAGGGTTTTGCCATGTTGGCCAGGCTGATCTTGAGCTCCTGACCTCAGGTGATCTGCCTGCTTCCACTTCCCAAAGTGCTAGGATTACAGGTGTGAGCCACCGCACCCGGCCCCTGGTGACTTTGCTGTAGTGGGACGAGTAGAGGGATTGATCATCAGAGCATGGTGGGTGGGGAAGCCTATCACCACATGGACTGCGCAGGCCACATGATTGTCACCTGAACTCAGCATACCACACAGACACCGGCATGGAGGAGGACAGCAGAGGGTCCCAATCCCACAGGAGCAGGGGGGTCAAGAGGGAGAGCTTTATGCAGCAACATGAATGGAACTGGAGGTTGTTGTGTTAAGTGAAATAAGCCAGGCACAGAAAGACAAACTTCACATGTTCTCACTCATTTGTGGGAGCTAAAAAATAAAACATTTGAACTCATGGAGGTGGGTAGAAGGATGGTTACTAGAGACTGGGAAGGGCTGTGGAGGAGAAGTGAGGATGGTTAAAGGGTACAAAAATATGGTTAGAACGAGTGAATAATATCTAGTATTTGATAGCACAATACAGTGACTATAGCCAACAGTAATTTATTGTATATTTCAAAATAACTAAAAGAGTCTAATTGGATTATTTGCAACACAAAGAAATAAATACTTGAGGTGATGGATACCCCATTTACCCTGATACAATTATTATGCATTGCATACCTGTATCAAAATATCTCATGTAACCCATAAATATTTATACCTACTATGTACCCACAAAAACTTTAAAAATAGAAGGGGGCCAGGCGCAGTGGCTCATGCCTGTAATCCCAATACTTTGGGAGGTCGAGGCAGGCAGACCACTTGAGGTCAGGAGTTCGAGACCAGCCTGACCAACACGGAGAAACCCCATTTCTAGTAAAAATACAAAATTAGCCGGGCACGGTGGCGCATGCCTGAAATCCCAGCTATTTGGGAGGCTGAGGCAGAGGAATCGCTTGAACCCAAGAGGCAGAGTTGCAGTGGGCCGAGATCGCACCACTGCATCCAGCCTTGGTGACAGAGTGTGACTCCATCTCAAAAATAAAATAAAATAAAAAATAAAAGGAAAACAATGTAATTTGTTAAAACTATAAACATCCTGTAACAACACTCCTTCAGCATAACTGCAACCGTCGCTCTTGCAAGAGTGGGTGAGAAATGCGCCCCTGACCTAAGCTGCCGTCAGCTCCCATTTTGCCCATGTCCAGCTGGGCCTCACCTGCACAAACATGGGGTCTTTTGCCCAGTGTCATCTGAGCTGCTGTACAGCAGCAAGCCTGGTTCTTTCCCTGAATCTTTCCAACCAACAGCAGCCCCCTGGGACCTGGGCACAGAGCTGAGCACGCAGTGGGTGCTGCCCCAAAAGCTTTGAACAACTGGATGCATTAAGGGTTAGATACATGTGACTCCCCCACACCATGCACCATGTCCCCCAAATTCCTAAGGAACCTCCTTGTATTCTGGCCTAGAGTGGGCCCACTGTCACACCATCGAGTGAAAAATCGGCATGAAGCAAGCCTGTGACACGTGTCATCTTTTCTACAAAATTGGAGGGAAAGGGGAATTTATGCACATATTTGCTTGAATATGCAGAAAATGTCTCTAAAAGGACCTGCAAAAATCGTGGGATATTGGCCGCAGCCGGAAGAAGGCCGGGGGGAGAGGCAGGGCAAACCCTTTCCTGGGAGCTGCCGGCACCTTTTAGCTTTTGAGCCATGTGAACAGCCTGGCTGTTCACAAAACCAAAACAATTATTTTTAGAAAAAAAGAAAAGAAAGAACAAGGCGTAGATGGCCTGAAGGCGCACATCTCCCCAGCTGGGCCAAGACCAGGACGGGGGCATGAAGAGAGGGCTGTGCCCATCCTGGGCAGGAGGCCAGCCCCGCCTCCCAGCCCCTGCCTTCCTGAGGCCCCTCTGGCAGGAGCCCTCACAGGAGGTCTGCAGGAGCCAGGCCCGCCTCACTGTTCAGCTTCCCTGGGATCTCTCCTCCCCCTTGGTGGCTGGCAGAAGAGGCTCTTTTTCTTGGCAAGCCACCGTCTGTGAAAAATGCGGTGGCCGTCAGGCTGCATCTGCAGACAACAGCTTGGACATGGATCGAATTAGGAAAAACCTCTTTACCTCTGCACTGTAAATCCTCACTCCCTGCGTCAGCCAAGCCAGGCAACGAGGAGCAGAGAAAGGAAGGCTCCAGGGAAGAGCATGTCCGGCTTCCTGGCAAATATCTGTGGCTGGGGTGGTGGCTGGGAGTGCAGATGTGTGCTCAGAAAAGACAGCCCTGTGACGCAGATCAGACCTAGGGGAACTGTGGGCATGCACGTGAATTAACGCGTACAGGAGGGTCGGGGGTGATCGGGCATGTGTGTGCGCATTTGGGTACATGTGCATATGTAGAACAGGCCCCGGTGAGTAGGGGAGACGCCTGGCTGTGCAGTAGGCCTGCCTCTGGGGCTCCATGCCTCAGGAGATTGGGAGCAGTCACGTAATTCTGCTGATTCCAACCCCTGCTTGGCCAACCCCGCTTTGTCACATGTTAGCCAGGTCTCTAGAAGATTCTGTTAGTCCTTTAACTTCAGTCACTTTACGTGTAACACAGGGTTATGGCGAGGAGTCACTGAAAATACCAAGCTGGCTGGAGCCTTCCCAGGATGCAGCAGCTCAATGGTGGGTCAGTGCCAGGGAGTGAGCCACAGCGGCTGGAGTCCGTGCATTCTTTTCTGGCTTCGACGCTGGCCTCACTGATGGTCCTGAAAGTACATGACTTTCCCCACCGTCTGACCATAGGCAGGGCTTGTGGCCCAGCGTCCCACACAGGGCCTGGCTTGGGGCAGGCAGAGAGGCCCAGGGTGAGAGGTGATAGCCCAGCTGAGGTGCCATGGTGGCTGCCTGTGGGTGCCCAGCCCACAGGAGGCCCCATTGTGCTGCAGCAACAACCAGGCCTGCCCTCCTCACCCACCAGGTCTGCCCTCCTCACCCACCA